CTCTCTCTCTCTCTCTCTCTCTCTCTCTCTCTCTCTCTCTCTCTCCCTCTTTCAACTTTATCCTTTTATTTTTCACTCCCAAGCCTACATATATTTTTAAACACATTGTAAACCATTTAGAGGTTGGTTTTGTTTTGTTTTATCTGAATCTATCTTTACTCTATATCTCTCCTTTTATGATCTCATGAGTGTTTAATTTGTTAAGTGGTATGGCTAGGATTAAAGCTATAAATTTGACAACTGGATCCAACCCATTCCTTAGCTTTCTGATAGTCTGTCTTCATGGTGAAGCTGGAGCCATGTTTATTGCTACAACTGTATGGTGTTTCAAGGTCCCTAGAACCACCAAGAAGCATGGTATTGGCTATCCATAAATACCATTTAATTGTTTTGTGGTGGGCCTCTTAAAAGAACTGCAAGGTTTTACAGCTAAACCTGAGTCAGAAAGCCTCTCTTAAATGAGATACATTTTTTTTTTCTAGCAAATGGAGCTCACACAAGAAAATGCTGCCACCAAAATGTCATGCTTAACTCTGTTCTTTTATCTTAAATTACTTTCCAAATTCTCTCAGGTTTTATGTGGACGTAGTTGTCCACGTTTGCACCATTTGTTGGTGAAGGTTACTGTCCGGCTTGGTGCCACAGCCATTCAGTCCCAAAGAAAATACACAGAGGCCTAAATTAATTATAAACTGGTTGGCCTATTAATTATTTTGAGGTGTGTTCCTTCTAGTCATAATTTCTTTAGGGCTGTTATCCTGAAGTGGTGTTGAAGATCACAGAAGGCTTTTGTGGTTGTCAATATTGTTATAATACCTATTAAAATCACCTTGTGGCTTCTATTCCTGAATCTATTATTTTATTGTTTTACATATGTTGATATATATTTATTGTACTTTCTTCACATACTGAAAATGAAACATATTTAAAAATATTGTTTGTCCGTTTTCATATATTTTTAAGACCATTTGAAAATATTTTATTGAGATAATGTGTGTCTAATTTCTCTGGAAAAAAATTGGCTTAAATTTTTCTACTTTTTGTGTGTGTCCCTTTCTGGTTTCAGGTTCAGGATAATGCTACCTTATTTTGGTGTGATTTTTTGTAGAATGCTTTCTCTTTCTGCTTTATTGAATTTTCTAAGACATAGTTATATTAGTTATTCTTTAAAGATCTGGTAGAATTCTTTAATGAATGATTATAATTTTTTCTTTTTTGCTGAGATACTTGGATAATGCTTGAATCTTTTGGCACGTTATTTTTATACTATTATTATCACTTTTTATAACCTTTGAATTTAATGTTAGTGGTTTCTATCTGTCTAAGAATTTACTCCTTATCATAGACTTTCCAGAATCTTTTAAATAAACATTTTGAAAGTATTCACTAACAATTCTCTGGATTTAATCTGTTTCTAATGTAGTGTTTCCTTTTTCACCTATCATCTTGTTAAATTTTTTAGGCATGAAAAATCCTGGGAAGCACTTGTGTATACAAAGCTCTTAAATTTAGAGCTCTTTATTTAGATTTGGTATTTTCCAGGAGGCATTAGTTTAAACTTCTCTATATTAGAATAAGGAGATGTGTCATACCTAATCATACAACTATTGTTCTCTGAACTTTAGTAATGCTTTACATTTAAAACATGTCTTATTTGAAAATTTCCTAATATTGCTAGTAATATGAAATTAGATGGGCATGTAGAGTTTCTAAGATAATTGATTATATTTTGTCAAATACCAGCCTTCTTACCAGGGTAGAAGCATGGGAAATTAAGAAATATAAGTAAAGAATATGAAGACGCATAAAAATAACGAGACAGAAAATTTGGAAAGTAACAGCAGGGCATTCCAGTGACAGAAATCCTGAAATTCTCTAGCTTTTATTTTTTCACAATTTTTGTACTCATCATAGAGGGTGGGGCTGGGGCGTGGTGGTTGGTTAGGGCAGAAGTACATTTGCATATCCTGACCACCTGTCAGAATGGCATGAATTTACTAGAATAAGCTATTTTAATTTCAAAAGAACTGAGCAATCACCTCCTGACTTAGGGCATGCAACAATGATTGTCAAATCTCCAAACTCTCTGACTATCAGACAAGGTTGAAATGGGCCGGTATTTTTTGACTTCCACAATATTTCAAACAAACACTAAAGAAATAAAATATATGAACATTAAAAATCTATAAAGTGTTTTTTAGAGGAAAGTTTTATAGCATAATCTTCAAACCTATTTCAAATATCATGTTTAAGAAATGCCTGCAGTTTAGTCTGGCAAATCAAAATATTCTTCACCAGAGAACAAGTCAAATAAAACAGAACTAAAGTTAACCAGAAAAATAATTGTCATAGAAATCTTATGGTATAAGACTAACAATTTAATCCAGCAAACTTGTTTGCTATTTCTTTTGATATAATATGTCAGTGTGGATCCAATGATACATATCAGCATTCTGAAATATGTCTTTGAGTTTTCTGCAGTTCCTCTTGGGAACAATATTTTACCTATATTTCGTCATAGTTATTTAGGATCCTGTAATGTATTAGGTAATGGCAATATCTATCACCCACTTTTTCTGGTCTTGACTAGTAATTATTCAAACACACACACACACACACAAACACACACACACACACACACACACACACACAGAGATATATATATATATATATATATATATATATATTAGCTCACTTTAAAAAAGCATATGCTTTTAGAATAGTGTTGTGATGTAATGATAAAGATACAGTACAGATGTAGGGGATAATATCTTTACAGAGTATGTTTCCATGACATCTCCAATATCCCAAATACACAAAAATATGAACTGTTTGAATTAGCCTTAAGCAGTAGATGAATGTACTCAGCATTGTGTGCTATAGCTAGTCTCTTTGATTACTTTTGACAAATATTTTTCTTGTCTGTTTTCATACTTAGTATTCCATGTTATAGAAATAAACCATGTTCTTTCTATGTTGGACTCCTTATATATGTACCATGCATTGTTACTTTCCAGTTACTAGCAGATCTGGAAAATAGTTCGATGTTTGCTGATGATCTGGAGTGTCAGAAGCTATTAATGGAAGCTATGAAGTATCATCTCTTGCCTGAGAGAAGATCCATGTTGCAAAGCCCTCGTACAAAACCTAGAAAGTCAACTGTGGGGGCACTTTATGCTGTGGGAGGTATGGATGCTGCTAAAGGTAAAATCAACACATTAATTAATTGGGAAAATACCTCCATTTGAAAAAAGAAGAGAGAGATATTTCTAACAGCCTCCACGTTATAAGGAGACTATTAAATCCTTGTTAAGTAAGTGTATCAGAAGCTGAATTTTCATAAATAGAGTAGTTTGTATGATTATTTTATACCTCATTTTCCTCCTTATCTTATGGATTATCATCTGTTAATTATGACTTACTTAATCCTTAATAGATATTTTACTTTAAGAACACAATATTAGGTTTGACTATTCAGTTTTCTCTGTCAAACCTTTACAGGGAAATTTTATTTATCTATCCAGCTCTATCTATCTTTCTTTCTATCTATCTATCTATCTATCTATCTATCTATCTGTCTGTCTGTCTGTCTGTCTGTCTGTCTGTCTGTCTTTCAGTCTGTCTATTTCCCTCTATTGTCTTTTCTCATCTCCTGTCTGATTTATGTTTGGTAATAGTCTGCTTTCATGATAACTAGCAGAGTATTGTGAGAGCAAAATTGATCAATTTGTGAGAGTAAATATTCATCATCTTATCAGTTCTAATGCAAAAAACCTTTAAACATTGCCATATTATAGATCAGCTTGTCAATATATAAACTCTAATATATATATATATATATATATATATATAACTTAACACATTTGAAAATGAGATTATAGAGGAAATAATTTCCAAAATTCTGGAACTACTTCATATAACTAGCGTTCTTCAGAAAATAACAAATACTATAGGATACCCTAATTAATTTCAGGTTTGACAGTTTCACATTTTATTGCTTTTTGATTGTCTTATTTTTCACATATTGCTTCCATATCCTAGGCTGATTTAAAAGGTGATGGCAATCCTCCTGCATCATTCTCCCAAGTGCTGGTATTACAGACATAAACCACTATCCCTGACTTTATTGCACTGAATAGAATAACATTAACAGCTTCCTGGTACTTAAATTAAAAACTGAATGTATTAAGTGCAAAACATAAATGCAATTATCATTTGTTGAGATATTTTTTCTTTCAGTGCTGGGAATCAGTTCAGTGCTTTACTTATGCTAGGCTTATGCTGTACCTATGCACTATAAATTCTGGTTCTAGTTTGTGATATCTTTAAAAACATAATCTGGAATATGGAAACATTTCTAGGTATTGAGACTATGTTCATTTTATTTATTAATTGTATCATGAGCACATGTGTGTCACAGTGTGCATATGAAGGCAATTTACAGGCAGCAGTTGTCTCCTTGAGATCAAACTCTATTCATCAGGTTTAGCTGCCAGCACCTTGATCCACTGAGCCATTTCTCTGGTACAGTATAGAAATCTCTTGTGTGTGTGTGTGTTTGTTGCATTTGCTCTATCTTATCATTTTCAAGTATTTCTTGTCTATGTTATCCTTAAATGAAGAGGTTTTTTTTTAAACAATGAAATGATTGTAAGTGTATCCAGTTTCATGTCTGATTCTAAAGATCAACGAAATAGCAACTTTTTATAACTGAACTCTCTTACCACAGTTCTGTTTTGAAGGCATGTAAACCTTTCATTTTGAGGGTCTCTATATAGAAACACCATATAAAGCTCTTTGGGAAGTTGACAACTATTAGGAAAATAATAAGAGCTAGTAGTATCAAGTAACTTTTGAAAATACTTCATAACTCTGACCATAATACTTGAAGAGAACTTCTATTATTTCTACTTTGGGCAATTTAAGATTTGATAATCTTGAAATGTTACTGAATAATACTTACTAGAAGTCCTCGTTCCTTTATCTCCATTGTCACAATTCTAGAAGGGAGAGCAGTAAAACCCTCTATACTCTTTCTGGTTTCAGGTTCTTGAACAACCAGTGTGAGCTCCTATGATCAACAATAAAACAGTACAGAATTAGATACAAAATCTAAGTAGTAATCACAAAATGTGGAAAGGGTAGCGTCTGCTTACATAAATCAGTATTATATTGAAAAGCATTTATCATTACAGTGCTATATATGCCTTTTCTTATAGTATATTGTTTCAGTTGCCTTGATGATGCTTTTTGAATCTAATTAATTCCTATTAATGTCTAGGAATATAGTACTCTATTATTTATTTTTGGTTCTAAATCATATAATAAATACAGAACTACAATTAAATACAGACAACACACAAATGTCTGAAACTAATGCTAATGACTAGAAATTATCATAAAAGAACCATCATCAGAAACTGTAGTCAAGATCTGAGTAAAAAATTTAAATTTGAATAGTTGAATTATCAGAGATGGTGATTAAAGAAACTGAGAAAGTCTTTAAAGTTCAAAATTCTAAAGTATTTCTCCAAACTTTTGTGATTGCAATAGAGAAGTTAAATAAAATCTTACCTTGTGTAGTTAGCCTACTACCCTGGATATCGAGATATTTTGAGTTCATTTTTTTCTATGATAGCTAATGTAGCCTTGTGTAATTCCCTAACCTATTACCTTTCCATTGTTATCTATATTTTCTTAATAATTAGTATAGCTTAATTTTGAATTCCAATCTAAATTGGCTATGATAATTTTCACTGAATAAACCAACAATAAAACAAATCAGAAGAATTAAAAGAATGATTTGTGAAAATTGTAATAAATAAAAACAAAACATTCCAGAAATGTGTATTTGAAATCATGTAGGAATTTGTATGTATTTAAGTTTAACTGTATCATCTAAACATTTATAGTGCAGAAAAGATGACCTAAATCAAAATAAATTAGCTATAGAGACAATATAAGCTCCACCTAAGGTTTGCCTTTATATACTCTTAGACCATAGCCTTACAGCTGTCAATAACAACACTGCAAAAGTTAACTTTATTTTCATCGTTACAGGGAACTATTTTTCCTACAAATCCACCAGTAAAGATCATGTGGGAAGTGTTTTGCTTGTCCCTCTGATAAACTATAGGAATGAATACTAATTAAGTCTACTTTAGTTTTTTCATTATACTCATAGCCATTGTGATGAATCAGCCTTCACTGAAAATGCTCAGCAGGAACATTGAGTAAATTACAAAATGCAGTGTTTACAGAAGTAAAAAAATTCATTAAAATATTAGTTTAGAATTTACTATTTCACTGGTGAGAATATACTACTTCACTAAATTGATATTTCAGAAGTTTAACAAAACTTTCATCAATGAAGTAATTCTTTAAAATTCTATAACTTCTGCTGCAATTCTTCACATAAGCACCATGAAAATTTTGGAGAAATAATGCCAAAACCATATGTGAAATGAATTGTAATTCATAATCATTTAGTCCTCTCTCTAATGTTTAATTCAGTTAAAATAATTTTCAACACACATATACATCTATATACATACAACAGAAAATCCTTACATTGTAGAAAATAAGAAGAAAATAATTATTAGCATAATTAAAATTTCAGTTCACTGGCTTTAATAAGCTATAGAAGGAAATATTAATTCATCCCATATTTTATATAAATATGCACTAAAAGAACTAAGATACAAGCTTTTTCATAATATATATAAACCATGTATTGGTACTACCTGTAATTGCCCACAATTTTATTTCATGTATTATTTAATATTATCATTAAATTCATATTTTGATGTCAAAACCAAATACACTACTTTCTGCTCAGGGTTCCAGTTTAATTTAAAAGCAGTGGAACTATCACTCCTTGCCTTATATATCAGTTAGTACTGTTACATGAGCTAGTTAAATTAATTTCAACTCTCTTTCCTGATGGTATGTTGTGAATTAGAACACATAATATTAAATAACCACACTTATTGTTTAACTTGGTTTTTATTATTGCTAATTACATCTTTAACAGGTACTACTACAATTGAGAAGTATGACCTCAGAACCAACAGTTGGCTCCATATTGGCACTATGAGTGGTCGTAGACTTCAGTTTGGAGTTGCAGTTGTTGATAATAAACTTTATGTCGTGGGAGGAAGAGATGGTTTAAAAACTTTGAATACTGTAGAATGTTTTAATCCAGTTACCAAAACCTGGGTTGTGATGCCTCCTATGTCAACACATAGACATGGGCTTGGTAAGATATTTAATGCTATATAATTTCTCAAAAATATGTAGGAAAACTGTTCATACTAGATCAAGGAGCACTTTACAAGGAGATATTCCAAGAATCACAGTGGCTTAAAGGTTCTGAGAAGGTTAAGCAAACTTGAAATGCTCATGGAAATCTTTAATTGTAACATAATATTATATTTTAATTCTATGTCCCTTCTACCAACATTTGAAAGAGTTCCATTTCAGAGAAGATGTTAATTTTCTGAAGGTGTATTTTATGGAGAATATAAAATGCAACAGAACACTTTCCTCAAGCTCAGTTGGGAGTAAAATTTTTGACAATGGTAAAGTATTATAAGCTCTTGTCAGAAAATTATGCTTCTGCACAACAAGCAAATTTGCATTTACTAAGATATTAAGAGATTTTTGGATGCAAATACAGGATAAATATATTTATGATTAGTACTTTTGCTGATCAGAACTCTAAAGCATAATTAAGGCAGAGGTTTCTACACAGTTTATGGATAAGTAATGTTGTGTGGAATATTGGAAAACATTAATTCTCTTGAATATATATCAAGGTACATTGATTTCTCTCTACTATGTTATATGTGCTTAAATATTATGGTATCTGAAAAAAATGAAGTATTTGACTTTTTTTTACAAAGTACGCTTTTATGATTTTAAAAACATATGTGTAAGCAAATGTATCTATATGTGGGCTTACAAACATGCAAATGGTGCCTTGGAGATCAGAAGGAAGTATCAGATCTCTTGAAGCCAGAATTGCAGGCTATTGAGAACTGCCAGACATGAGTGCCATAACTGAACTCATCCAGTTCTTGGCAAGATCAGTACCCACTTTTAACCACTTAGTTATTTCTTTACTTAGCACAATAGACTTTCATATGGTACTATGGTACTACATGTCAGATCCAGGACTGGAATTTTCTCACCATTTGTTTTGTTAAATTGTTTCTGTTAATTCATACACAATGTAGTTATTATCTGTTATATCATTATAATTCTTATGCATGTGCATGTCCTGAAAAGAAATAAATTCAAGCTTTAAAAATGCAAACTAACACATGTTAGAAATCACATATGTGAGAAGAATGTACAAAAAGCAATGAGAATCTGATTATTGGTATCTTATCATGAAATATAGTTGTCAGGGGAAGTTTTCCTACGATAATAATACCATATTTAGCCTCATATGTAATCAAATAATGACTCACATGGGCAGAAAACTATTTCAGAGACAAAATAGTTGTTTGGTGCTTCATAAGGCATAGGTAAATGACCCTTTATACTATGCTATCCTTTAGGTGTAGCCACACTTGAAGGACCAATGTATGCTGTTGGAGGTCACGATGGATGGAGTTATCTAAATACTGTAGAAAGATGGGATCCTGATGGACGTCAATGGAATTATGTGGCTAGCATGTCAACTCCTAGAAGCACCGTTGGAGTTGTTGCATTAAATAACAAGTAAACTTAAATATACAAGCTCTTTGTTACCAGACCATGTTGTGCAGTTTCTTTGTTATGATCATCAGTCAGTAAACATTATATGTTATCAGATCATCCTTATTAGCAATTATAAAAGTCATTTGGTAGAATCTTCCTTTCTTTGTGATGGAAAATAGTTTTCTACGATAAATGCTACATTAAAAAAATTATAGACTCTATTCAAAATTTGGTTCTGGATCCAGAAATATAAGAAATCTTTGGGGGAAATTTTACATCTTAGTCTTATCTTAAAAGAATCAGAAACTGCATTTTACTTAAATCTTTAGGAAAAGTATATACACATGAATTTGAAGAACACTATTTTAGATAACCATTTCCAATTTGCCCTAAATAAGTGACATCTTTTGCATTACAAATTATTCTAAATTTTTAAAAATAATTTGTCTTCCTATGTTTATGAATAAGGTGAGTTACTGTTCACCAATCTCTCCTCTGAGAGTTTAAGGTGCATAAGTAATGAATTCCATCTGGTTTTGCCTTCCTGAAGACTCACATTTTTCTGATTCTGTAAAAACAAGCTCTCTTGATGCTTCCAAACCTTGACTCAGTACTACATAATTATAATGTTTTTCTTTATTTTTATTTTTCTTCTATTATTGAGATTATTAAATAATTACATCGTTTCGTCCTTCCTTTTCCTCACTCCAATCTGTCCCATATACCTTTCATATCTTTCTTGCAAATTTAAGGTCCCTTTTTCATTGTTTTCATGCATATATATGCATATTATTAAATATAATTATAAATTATATTATAATTATATTATAAATTAAATATAACCTGCTTAGTCTGTATAATGCTACTTACATGTGTGTTTTTCAGAGATATGAAACCACTCTAAGTCACATATAGCTTACATGGTAGATAGTTAAGACAATAGGGTAACCAGTGTCAAGATTTATGTGATTTTGTACTAATATGTATGAAATTGGTACCTGAACATCAATGAGCTTAGTAAAAACTCAGCACAGGTGTATTTTAGAACTCAACAGAAAAAGAAATAGTATATAGTTAAAGCAGTAGATAGGTTCCTATCTATAATATTTTCGGGTTTCACATAATTGTAAACTGACTGACTGTTCTAACCAGATGGTATCAAGTGATTCAATTCCATAACCCCTCTATACACCACACCAGATTCAAATCATCAACTTGAATTTATTTCATTTTGCTTTATTGAGTTATATTGCTTTCAATTCAGAGTGAAAGAAAGCTACAAGCATATGGTTTGATGATTGTTTATCATCTTTATTATTACTGTATAATACTTAAATTAAAGCATTATATAGTATAATAATTTACATTCATAAGTTATTAAAAAACATTTTATAGTTACATTTTCTTCATAAGGATAATCTACCTTCTCAATTTTATTATATTTCATTAGTTGCCTTATATAAACATCTTTTAGGAAAAATATTATATTTAATACTAAACAGCTCATACATGACAGAAAGTATGAAGTGAAACAGTTTGACCTCCTGTAACAGCAACTTTGTTGAAACTGATTGTTGGGACTACATATGAAAATAAATCTTCTTGATACCGTCTGAATTTCTGCACATAAATATTTTCCAGATCTTTCAGTGTTAAGTCAATTTTTTTTGACCAATTAAAGAGGGTTGTTTGGAATAGACTAGGCTTTACCAAGGGCCATAGATAAATACTCATTCGCAAATTCAGTCTTTCTGTTGACAACAGCAATGGACTAGAACAAACATTATAAAGTGTGAGAAAATAAAAATGCCTTCATTGTCATCTCT